CGGACATAATTTTGGCTGAGTGAGGCTTTTGGTCTATTTTCTATTCTGTGTTAATAGGGAGCTTTAGATTTGACTACGAGTACGACTACGAATACGAGATTCGTAAAGCTAAACGCATGCTGTATGCTTACGCCATCCCGTATATACTGACGCGAAAAAGTCGTAGCCGTCGCTCATCTGAGTACGAAATTGTGCAGAAATCTCGTAGTCCTCACTACGACTTTTCAAAAAAACAAAGAAAGTTGCCTTTTTTTGTTTTCCAAATATAATTTGTAGCATTTATATAACGTTTATCCGGCGCAAATAATATATTAGTACTAAATATCTGGCCTGTTTTTAATGTTATCACTTATTTACACGTTTTCTCGGGGATTTTAGTCGTCAGAAGATTTAGTTTATGAAACTTTTTCTCTCATTGTTGATTTACTGCTATAAAAGCAACATTTGAATGAAAACGAAAAGACTACGGGAATTTCCTAGCACGCGATCAAATCTCGCAGTCGTACTCGTACTCGTACTCGTAGTCGAATCTAAAGCCCCTAATATGCAGAAACGCGAAATAGGCGTACTAAGAGGACTAGGGACTAGGTTGGCGCGGTGATGTCATATAAAGGGACTGAATCTGAAGTACTATATGGCGTGGAAATGGCGTGGAGAACTGACGCCACTGCTCACGCATTCAGCTCAAGCACAGAATATGGTAGTCTTATTCTGTGGTTAACTTGCAAATGACTGAATGTTATCGTTCCAGGTGAATAGATTGAGTTCACTGGTTCGAAGAAGTTAACCATGCTATTTGGTAATGTTGGTTTAGACCATAGTGCGGACTGCGGGTGCCCGGGAGTTATTTCGTACATCGATGTGGTAATATTAAAGTGGAAATCAAGTCCGTATCTAAACAAACGGTCTGTTTACATTTTGAACTGATGAATATTTTTTAATTAAAATATGATGTACTGTTTGAATACCAAACACCATTTTGGTTCGCTATGCTTGTAAGTGAAATGAATATGAAATAGAGTTTCGGTTCAGAAAAATTTCAAACATTCAAAATTTGGGCAATGTTTACATTAGAGGGTCCTCACCATAGAAATAATTATTTCTATGGTCCTCACATTGTTATGAGCAAAACCGATGCGCAGAACGGAATTAACTTCCACTTTAATATTTTTCGGCCAGTTGGTTCGAAGAGGACTAATGTGCAATTGTTGCATTAATTGCACTAGCTAGTGCACTTGCACCGTATCAATTATTTAAATGTGCCAAAAAATGTAATTGTCCTGTTAATTTGGAATGGATGGGCAAAAACAAACTTTTGACTGCTGTTTTCCACTCCTCGAAATCTCCTTAGTCCTTTTGAAGGTTATGTTCCCGCGTGTCGTCTTAGCGAATCACAGGGGACTTTATCATAGGAGTTATCATTCCAGTTTACTTATAGTTTAATGGTTTTCCGACGCTTGCATTCTACACGCATGCGCAAACAAAATTACCATTTCTGTTGAAAAATTTGTACACGTGCGATGATGGCGAATTGATGCGAAAGAAAGATGAGAAAGTTCATGTCAATTGGATGTGCTTTAAACTGTTTTACAACCAAATACTTGACAAATACCAAGAGGAAAGTTATGTATGTTGATAAAGAACGATATCATTGGATAATTATATGAAAAAAACGAAGGGAAAGATAACCATATTATGCGTATCACGAGTCATCTGATGCCTCAACGAAGCTTGAGAAATGCACTCGACAATACAGCATTTGGCGTGGTATTGAAATCATATTTTTCCTGACACAGTTTATATGGTGAGTATTTACTAGGTTTTTCCTAATATATGCTGCATCAATACTCAATAGATACCGACAAAAATGAGTTATGCCTTATGACTTAATGAGTCTAATATGTCTGAATATGAACCATGTGAGGAGATGTTGCTATCATAATCATAACCACCCAAATCAGGAAGGGTCAAATACTTGGGCATCTTCAGTCTTTAATACTCGATTGAAATAATGTGAAAGGATTTTGTGGATGGAAATCTCTAGTGTAATTTTATAACCAAACCACCAGGAGCAGATTGGAAAAATGTAACCATAGGCCATCTCTATAAACCCTTGCCCTTGATCTATATAAATGTATAAAATTTACACTGGAAATTCCATTTACATCACAACATCCTTCAATGTTAGTTCAATGGAGTGAGATACCCAAAACATACCGATATTTACCCATATATACTTTACTATGACATCTTAGTATAGTATTACACATGAACTTTTTTTGTTTGTTTTATTGTTCTTCTAGATTATTACAAAATTAAATAAGTTTTGTTTGAAGTTTCGAAGACTTGAACTTTTGTTCATTTCATCCGTTGATGTTTATCTTGCGTCAACTGCACGTCTTCGAAATGGTTTTCGTATAGGAAACCGAAACGTCAGACAAAACGTATTTAATTTTGTAATAATCTAGAAGAAAAATAAAACAAAAAAAATGAATGAACCTGGATTCAAACCTTTTAACACATGAACTTGTTGTTAGAGCTCAACAACTGGGCTCTGGATCTCTGTTGGAGCACTACAACAGAGGGCTTATAGTTGCATTTTTCACAGCTGCTCCTGGTTTGGCCTATATAAATGTATAAAATTTAAACTTGAAATTTCCATATACATACACAGTAAAATGGGTCAAATATGCTCTTCTGATACATTTCAAGTTTTTGATGTGGTCAAAAATGTGTTTAAGACATTAGTATGATGTCTTTTACAAAACCTGGGCCTGCCACCCTATGAAGTAAGTCAGGCAGTAATTACATACCCACGCATTAAGTCCTGTTTGGGCAATTGTCGAAGGTGATAAGTTGATGGTTGACTCTCAAAAGTTGAGGTTGAGGGTCAAAAGTCAAGGGTTACTGTAAAAATGGAAAATAGTAATTTAATTTTTATCAATGCAGTTCTAGAATACTATTTTTTTGCATATAATTTGTTGTCAAAATTAACTAACTTTATTAATTTAATGTTAATACAGAACAATGCTTTAAGGCATAATCAGGTTCCTTTTTTATTTTTGACAGAGTTTAAATTACTAAAAATATTTGACAGTGATTTGAAAATATGTTGTGTTTTATTGTATTGTACTATCAGAATAGACTGCGAGCGGTCCCTCCTTTCCGCGGGTTTAGATTTCTGGGCACGAGATTTCCGGGCACGAGAAAGGAAACGAGGGACTGCAGACAACACAGTAAGAAATGAAATCCCCGTTGCCTACACAACGGAAAATACCCATTGGTCGAAATCGATACGCCTGTCAATCAAATCTGATATGTAATAATTATGCTATAAATAATTTCCAGAGTGAATGTTGATTTTATACAGGGTGTGAACATGCAGGGTGGACTTCCGTCTACGCATGCGCGAGAAACGTAAGCGTGAAGTGCACGTGAGCGCGGGTTAATCGCGTGACTGAATTATAAAAAACAAACATCAAATTTGCAAAAACTACTCGTGTTATGAAGTTGTTTTCTTGTTTCTTTAGTGTTTTACGATTACAATTTTAGGCATTTCCAACTTAGAAGTGTTTGCTTTGGAATAAGAACGTGAAAGTAGAAATAAAAACTTTGTTGCAGCAGTTTAATTTCGCAGTGCAAATATACCTGTTTTTAATATGTATATCCTTTTCGAAGTGAGATATACAAGTGCAAATTGACTTTCTTTAAATTCGTACTTGCCCTATTTTTCACTCCATAAAAACTACTTTTATCGATGGAGAAACTATTTGACTCTAAAAATAAGCCTGAATTTTTGTGGTGATATAGGCTCATTTCTTTGCAAACAGTGATTTAGTACTCGGTAGTGTAGTTGTTGTTTATGAACAATAGTCTAAAATGAATTCAACATCCGTCAACAAAAAGGAGTCGCGCTTATTACTACTCTGTAGAGAATAGACAATTAACTTAACTCACTAGGAACCCGTTCTACAATATAAACTAGAAATCGGCCGACAAATTGCCACGAAATACTACAATGAAAATACGGTATCTGAACTACCAATTTCACCAAACGGTCAAGTTTCTCTGCAAAGATCGCCCCTTTGCCCAATTTTCCTCGAGTAGATCATCGTGTTTTTAAGTCAAGGATTATGTATACGTTAACATAAAAGAATAAAAAAGTGGTGATAAAGGGTAGATTTTGAATAAAATACGAATATCTGTATACAAGATCTGAGCGTTATTATGAAGCACTCGATACTTTTTCCAACAACATATTGCGATTAATTTTTTACAAAATTAAAAATATTCACACATTAAAGATATGAAAATGTAGCTTGCATTACAAAGAAATGTTTGCTTACCTAAGTTATACTTTGCACGTCGATTAAAGTCAAATAAAACCCTTTCAAAGACGCGTGTCACATTAAACTACAGGTCACATGGCGGTAGAGAACTCGACGAAGTATTCAGGATATTTCATAGCCAGTTTAAACCCTGCTGTGCACTATTCCTGTGAATTATGATGCCCAACACACCGGGTAACCAAATTTACCACTTTGTTCGGCTGTTCCAAGTACACTTTTAAGATACAAGGTCCGATTATATCATGTTCTTCGAAGCATCTGCTCAAAACAGTCCAACATAAATGTCGCCACTCATCTTCTTCGTATGAAAATATAAGTTTTCCTTTCAATTGCTTTGCTTTAAAAACAGTCATTAGGTTGTTGAAGAGTTAGCCTGCAAGTTCCAACGAAAAAACACCCGATGCTTTCAAAAACCAGTGAATCACAATGCTGTAAACTTCAACATCCTTAGAAATTGTAAGCAAAACATGGAAAAGCAAATTTGCGGGAAAAAGCTCACGAGCCCGCACTATTTTCATGCAGCGTCGACGAAAGTCCACCCTGTTCAGGGTGTGTCAAAATAATCGAACGTCAGCGCGCTATGGTGTCTGAATTACTGCGTATGAACGAGATTTTTTCATCTTCGGAAAGACCAGGTTCTTCATGCCAAATGGATAAAAAATAAGCAAGTACGAGTCTGATAAAAAATGCTAGTCAGATCGCATATTATCACCGTTGATTCTGACTAACATTTTTTATCGGACTCGTACTTGATTATTTTTTCTTCATTTGGCATGAAAACATGTCATTCAACAGCTAAACGCCTCATCTTTTCGAATATGAAAAAAATGTTCATGCCCCGAGTAATTCACGTACAATAGCGCGCTGAAGTTCGATTACCTTTTTTTACTTACCCTGTAAATAAACATGACATTAACGGTTTCCTATTGGATAGATTTAATTGGATATAGTAATGTTTATGCAAAGGCAGAGCCAATTTGACAAGGGCGAAAAGTGTGCTTATTTCGTTTCTTGCTGTGTTGTCTGCGGTCCCTCATTTCTTCGAGGGACCACTTGCGGTTTACTATCAGAATGAATCGAGTGCCAGCCAAGCAAAAATCTCTCACAATCATCATGAGATAATGAATCAGGGGCGTAGCCAAGGGG